GCAGTTAACAATGTTTTAATCTCCTCTTTCCGAGACATGCTGATGAATTAACCCCTGTGACTTACATAGGATTGCAGATTATGTCCATTTCGGTGAGATTTCTCTATAAAAGGATCTCTTACTCAGTTTCCCCTTAAAATAGTTACATGCCAAGACCAGGTTCCCGTGGTTTTTCATGAACATGGAAGTAGAACGGAGTAAGAAGTGGGAAGAGGGCAGAGAGAGAATATGAAGGTGAATATAAAGATGTCTGGGAATACAGTAGGAACACATTAATGGGTTATGATCTCACAGAGGAATTTTGCATCAAAAACTTGGGTTAGATTTACAAAGATCAAAAGCTTAGTTTCAGTAGCCAGCATCAGTCATTCATTTATGGGCTCTCCCTCCATGCCATTGTTCAAGTAGTGAGAAACCTTTAAATGCAACATTGCTGGTAGCCATAAAAGACATAGTCAAGTGTTTAAGAAAGAAGACCTGGCTCCAGTGAGCTTCTAATCCAGACAATGGCCATTGTTCCCTTCCTTCTGCTTGGAACTTCATGAGCCCTCTTGACTGAAGATGTATGTCTTCAACTCTGCACATTTAAAAGACAATGTTTTTATTGATTTTAGAGAGAGGAAGGGAGAGAGAGAGAAAAGGCAGTGCAAGAGAGAAACATTGATCTGCTCTCTCCTGCACAACCCTCTCCTGAGGATTGAGACTGCAACTAGGGCACATGCCTTGACCAGGAATGGAACCTATGACATCTTGGTGCATGAGAGGGCACTCAACCAACTGAGCCACAGTGGCCAGGGCTGAATATTTTTTCTTCTATTATTTTTTTGGTCTTTTCTGTTACTTTCTTTGTTTTCTTCTTTCAAAATTTATATTAAACTTATTTTAAAACTTCTTGCTTATCTTAACTTTTTTATCACACTAAAAAACTTTTCCTCCTCTTCTCTCTCTCTTTCTCTCCTACCTCCTCCTTCCCACCCTCTCTCCCTTTTTTCTCCCTTCCTCCCTCCTTCCCTCTCTCTCTGGTGAGAGGGAGTTGCCTTGTAGGATAATTCTTTGGCGCTTGTCTTCTAGATTACTAATATATTTTTCAGCTGTATCTTTTTTTTTTTTTTTTTCCTGTTTAGACCAAATACTGTATTTTCATTTCAAAAATAATTTTTGAATTTTTTAAAAATCACTTTTTCAGTGCTACTTCTATTTGTTGTGTTACGATTTCTCTTTCTTGGTGTTTCTTTTCTTCAGATGTTTAATATCTTGTGGTTTTCTTTGCATTTCTCTACTTGAAGTTTGATGTTACCCAGTTCATAAGGCAACATTTGTTTTTAGCTACTTTTCTCTGGAGATTGTGGGCTGTGTACTGGGAGGGGTGTTTGGCAGCTGCTGTGCACATCCCTGTTTCTCCAGGATACCAGCAGCCTCCTATGGCCGATGTGCTGAGACCTGCCATGTGCACGCATTGTGCCAGATGGGATCTCTTAGGAGATTCTGAGACAGGCCTAGAAGAATAGATGTGAGAGAATGGGTTTTAAGTGCAGGCAAATGAATGGACAGAAGGGGGACCTGCATCATCTATTTCACTAGAAAGGGATATGATGTTAAGAATAGTGATAGTGAATGAAACCAGTTGAGACTTAAATGTGTCAAACACAGAGAAGCTTTTTTTTTTTTTTTTTCCACTCCAAACGTCGTATTACCATTTATCTAGTTGCTCAAGCCAGAAACTGGGGAGTGGTCCCAGCTTCTTCCCTCCCTTCATCCAGGCGGTTAGTAGTTCCTGTACTTTGTTCTTTCTAAATGTCCTTTGAATCTATCCACTTTTCTCTATTCCCATTTCTACTATGTTTGTCTCAGTTATTGATGAAATAGTTACTAAATGATAATTTTGTTCTGTGAAGACAGAAAAATAGATTGTGGGGTAAAAGAATACATTTGGTTGGGCATGTGTCTATCTTATTAATAGTAAGTTTCCTTCATGGTGATGCCCAGTGTGTGGTTAGAAATAGAAGCTTAGTATTTGAGAAAAAGTTCTGAGTGAAGGCAGCAGATTTGTAAAAGATTATAGTTTAAAGTATGGGAATGGACTTAATGCTTGGAGAGAAAATCAATACAGAGAGGTAAAATGAAGTTTTAGTACGAAACCAATGAAAACTCCTAAATGTAAGGGAACATCTGCATTGTGGATTGTGCTACACTGTTTGAAGGATGTCAGTGTATGTTATGTTCTCTCCCTTTGAAGGAATTCTGATTTAACAGGGGATATAAGGCATGTTTGAATGAAAAATTCAGTAACACTGACTAGTACAAAGTGAGTGATATATACCTTTGGGTCCCAAGTTATGTTCTAGAAGATTTAATAGCTTCATCAAAACCAGAGAATTCTTTGACAAAATAATTTGACTGTTTGTTTACTCTAGAATTTCCCAAAGTTAATTCACCTGAATATCCCTATACAATATCCCCACCTCATTATTTAGTGGCATTCTGCAAATTTTAATAAGTGTGTTTTGCTATTTGCTCATTTCAAAACATTTTAAAATGTTCATTTTTGATTTTTCTTTGATGCTATTATTTTATAGTGTATTAGTATATTAGAAACATACAAATATTTAAATATTTTCCAGATATCTTTATATTATTGATTACAAATTTACTCATCATGGTCAGAAAACATATTTTGGCATTTTTTGAGTCCTCTTTAAATATATTTAGGTTTGTTTATAAACCAGAATATGTGCTATTTTGCAAATGTTCTGTGCATACTTGAAAACATATGTATTTCGATGTTATTGGGTTTAGTATCCTATACATGTCGATCAGGTCAAGTTGATTAATAATGTTTTTAAACTCTTATTTTTAATACTTATTTTCTGTCTTCTTGTTCTGTTAATTATTGGGCAAGGTGTATTGAAATACTGATTGTAATTGTGAGTTTATTTATTTCTCCTTATAGGTTTACCAGTTTTTACTTTACACTTTTGGAAACTCTATTATGGGGTGCAAAAATGTTTAAGTTTATTGTGTGATATTGATGAGTTGGCCATTTTATCATTATGCAATGACTTCCTTTATCCCTGCTAATAATATTTCATACTCCGAAATCTATTTTATAGTCACACTAGCTTTCTTTTTATTAGTATTATATATATTTCCACCCTCTTACTTTTATCTTTGTATTTGGATACATTTCTCGTAGGTGGCCTGTGGTTGGGACTTACTTTTTAAAAATCTAATCTGGTACTCTCTGTTTTTTAATTGACATATTTAGACCATTTAATGTAATTAAATTTATCATCTTGTTTGTTTTCTGTTTGTTCCATCTAGTTCTTGTTGACTTTCCTCTTTTTCTGCCTTCCTTTATATTGAGTATTTTTAAATTATTCTTTGATGGCTTTATTAGCAATAAGTCTAATAGTATTGACATACGTAATTAACTTATTACAGGCTACCTTCAAGTGATAGTATACCAATTTAAGTACCTTCAGTAGTGAACTTCCATTTCTCTACCCTCAGCCTTTTTTTTTAAATATGTTTTTTATTGATTTTAGAGAGAGAGGAAGGAAGAGGGAGAAAAAGAGAAACATTGAAGTTGAGAGAAAAACATTGATCAGTTGCCTCCCATATACACCCTAAATCTGGTGACCGAACCCTCATCCTGGGCATGTGCCTTAACTGGGAATCAAACCAGCAACCTTTCAGTGCCTGGGACGACACTCAAAACAACTGAGCCACACCAGCCAGGGCTCCACCCTCTCTCAGCCTTTTACCATTATCATCATACATTTTACTTTTACATCATTTATAAATTCCAGAGTACATTGTTATTATTTGTATCATACAATTTTCTCTTAAAGAGATTGAAATAATAGAAAAGAAATCTTAAATATGTACTTATATAGTTACTATATCTGGTGCTGTTCATTGCTATATGTAAAGTAATAGTTACATCTGGTATTTTTTCCTGCCTGAAGTACTTTTTTTATTTTTTATAGTTTATATTTGTGGGTAATGAGTACTTTTCAGCTTTTGTATGTCTGAAAATACCTTTATTTTGCAGTCATTATTTTTGAAAAATATTTTTATTGCATGTAGAATTCTAGTTTGACTGTTTTCTTTCAGTATTTTTTAAGTTATCTTTATTGTTGAAAGTATTGCAGATGTTCCCCCTTTATTCCTCCAGTGACCCCCCGCCCAAGCCTTCGCTGAATATTGTTTGTGTACTGCTCTACTTTCTTCTCTCTTGTATTGTATTTAATGGGAAGTCAGCTTTCATCTCCATCTTTAGTCCTCTGTATGTATTGTCTCTTTTTTGCCTCTGGCTGCTCTTAAGATTTTTCTACTCATCACTAACTTGATGCAATTTGATTATGATGTACCTTGGCATAGCTCTTTTTTCCTTCTTTTTTTTTTTTTCAGATATCTTGTGCTTGAGGTTCATGAGTTTTGTTGATCTGTCAGTTTATAGTTTTCATCAAATTTGAAAACTTTTGCCATTATTTCTTTAAATAATATTTCTGTCTGCCCATATTTCTTTTCTTCCTTGGGGACTCCAGTTATATATTTATTATGTCTCTTGAGTAGTTCCACACATCATTGATACTCTTAATTTTTTTAAAGTTATTTTTTGTCTATGTTTCATTTTGGATAATGTCTATTGTTATGTTTTCAAGTTCACTGATCTTTTATTCTGCTATGTCTAAATTGTAATGATTATAATTCTCTGTAATTTTCTTCTCACACATTGTGGTTTTAGCTCTCAAAGTTCTACTTGTTTATCTATCTATCTATTTTTTATTTATTTATATTTTACTTTTTTATGTCTTTCATGGCTCTACTTAATTTTTTGCACATATATAGTTAATATAACTATTTTAAATTAATATCCTTATCGTCTAATTTCAATATCTATGTAAAATTATGGGTTCATATCGATTGATTAATTTATCTCCTCATTATGGGTCTTGTTTTTCTGTTTGTTTGAACAGTTCATAGCTCTCCTCCCTCCATGTCCCCCCATTCACAATACAGACCAGGCAAAGGGCCGGGGCTGAGGTGTGTATGGGGTGGATTAACTCTGCCTCCTCCCTCTGTACAGTCTGTGTAAGAACACAGCCTGCAGTAAGCACTGGAAGGCCGCATAGTTGGTAACATTTGATCAGGTGCCAGACATTGTGAAATTTACATTGTTGAGTACCAGACCTATTTGTATTTCTGTAAATATTCTTCAGCTTTGTTCTGGGATGTGTTATTTGGGAATAAGTTGATCCTTCTTTATCTTGCTTTTAAGCTTTGTTAGGCAGAACTGGAGCTGTGCACAGTCCAGGGTTAAGTATTTCCCACCAGTGAGGTGAGGCTCTCCCGGGTCCTCACAGTACTCTGTGCATTAAGAGGTTTTTGTTTGTTTGTTTGTTTTCAGAATGGCTGGTGGGAACATGCACTGTTCCTGGCCCCATGTGGACATTGTCATCTCTAATCCTTTTGGGTAATTCTTTTCTGGACTTAGGTAGTTTTCTTACATGCTTGTGCTGACTTAACTGAATTCTTGAGGGGAAAGCTCTGCAGAGAAATCTCCAGAGATTTCTCTCTGTGCAGCTCACTTTTTTCCAGTACTCTGTCCTGCAAACTGAACTCCCCTTGGCCTCTCTAAACTTCCTCTATGTAGTCCCTTCAACCCCGAGAATCTGCTGGGCTCTGCCTGAATTTTCCCTACTTGCTCACAGCCTGGAGACTCTCTGAAGAGAGTAAGCTGGGGTAATTTTTAGGGTTCACCTCATGTGTTTTTCATCTTTCAAGGATCATTGTCCTTCATTTCCTGGAGTCCAGTGTCTTCTAAACTCATATCTTGTATATTTTGTCTGCATTTTATTTGTTTCACGTGAAATGATAAGTCTGGCTGCCATTATTCCATCATGTGGCAAGCAGAGTTCCCTTTGCACTGTTTTTCAGTTTCTGGACATGGATCCCCTTTTCCAAAGAGTATCTAATTGGACTAGCATTTGTTTTGGAAAATGCCAATGTAATAAGAGAGGAAGTTTTATTCTGTTAGTTAAGGAACTTTTCTCTTATATGGTAGTTCTTAGAAGCTGGAGATTTAGAGTTAGCATGGCAAAGACAGTTGACATAGAAATCTCCCAATCTCACTGTCTTCAAACTAGAAGAATTTTTAAAACAGTAATGTACTCCTCTCATGACAAACTGACGTGCAAAGTTTTCCATCATAAGTTTCAATATGTATAAAGGATGTAATTTTCCAATTAAAAAATCTTGACATTTTAACATGTTATAATTCTTCTCTTAAACATATCAACTGGAATCTAAATATATAGTCATTTAAGGCCCATATTTTTTATTTTAAATCATGAAGAAATTCTTTTTTAACATTTAAAAACTTTACATTATTTCTCTTTCTACTTGGTGTCATATTTTCATTCCACTTTCCCCACTAAATTTATTTCTAATATCATGCCCTTTGCTTCTTTGGCACATTTAAGAATCACCCTAGTTTGTTTATCTGCATAAAAATAAACATATAAATTAAATTAATGCTTTAAAAATTTTCCATGATCATAAAAGTTTTATGCTTTAAGTCAAATTCTTCTGGATTGAGTTAGCACTGCAGTTTTCAGTAGCACACAGTTGATCGAAACAGCATAAATATATAAAGTACTGATAAATAATATTTTAGTATAGGTCCTGGCTGGGTGGCTCAGTTGATTGGAGTATTATCTCCATATGCCAAGGTTGTGAGTTCGATCCCTCGTGAGAGCACATGTAAGAATCAACCAATGAATGTATATATAAGTGGAACAACAAATCTCTCTCTCTCTCTCTCTGTCAAAGTAATAAAAAATAATATTTCAGAATAATGATTAAAATTTTATTTGAAATGTGTCTCTTTGAGATGAAAGGGTATTATATTTTTTCTAGTTACTCTATATACTTGTAGGTGATAATTATTTATTGCTAGATAGAGACCAGATAACTAGACCACATTGATAATCCAAGGTAACAGTGACACTAAGGAAACTCAGTGGTAACACCTAAAATATTTATGGATTATGTGAAATAAGTTCATATTAATAAAATGACATCTGACTTCTGTGTTTAATTTATCTGAAGTTTTATGAAATTCAGAACAACTACACTTTTTACATGGGGGTGAACAGACAGTAGAGCATTAGATACCAGTTTGGGCTACTTTTGTACTACCTCTGCTCATTTTTAATAATTGACAGTTGACCACTATATGATCCTAAACTTTCATAATGGGTAAAATATAAGATACAGTTTTTATTATAACAAAGTTTCCTAGCTTTGTGAAGGATTTTAAATGGTTCTATTTATGAAATGATTTCTCTGCTGTTTTTCACATCTTCTCTGTGCAATAATACATATTTGTATAGGGATGGACTTTGGCTATTCTGTTGTCCTGTAAAAGGATGATGGATAGAAACAACTCTGGTAGGATAATTGGGGTCACTTTGTGAAATTGGACTTGTCCTTGCACGATGTGATTCTCAGAAGTCATGGAATTTGGGCTCAGATCGAGGGCAGCCTGTCATGTGCTCCTCTGAGTAGTGTTAATCACACGGCTGGTCTTTCCTTGGAACGAGTTCCAGGAAGCCAGTAGGGACTGAGGCTAGGGATCTCTCTATCTGAGCACTTTAAGGATGAAAAAGGCTTCATGCCAGAAAGGAATGCTCTTCCAGGCAAATGGTATGTGCAGAAAATGGTGTCTGTCCTCAACCTCACACTGCCTAGTAAAATCAGCTGAGGGATTTTACAGGTTGCTCACTGCTTCCCCTAGAGCGAAGCTAGTTTGCTTTTATCCTGGCCAACACCCTCTTTGGAGGCAACTTTTAAGTCAAGTTGTCAAGGAAGGGTGTAACTTAATTTCTAGGGAATATTATTTCATAGAACAACACTGTTCCTTCTAAACTTAGGTGTTTTTAAAAGAGATTTGGGGTGGAGAGTAGCTGAAAAAGTAAAGAAAGCATTATTAATGGGCTAGATCTGCATATTATAGCTTCTGGATGACAGCTTTAAAGTTCACCTGAGCACTTTCACTTTCTTCATTCAATCATTCAAGAGCAGTTTTGACTCTGTCCTAAAATAAAATTCTTTGTGCTTCATCCTTCTGGGACAAAATGACATCTTAGCCCCTAGGATACTGAATTAAACCACACATCTTGGACTCTGGGTTCTACTAATCTTTGTATCTACCACAGAACCTGACACACAGTGGATTCTGGGAGAATTGTCCTAAGTACATCTGGAACCTTGCTTGTGCTTAGTAGCTATGATATGTTGGGGGCAGTTATCTACCTCTCTGGTCCAGATTTCTCTACCCCCAAAATGGAAATAATCATAAACTCTACACATAGAATTATGGCCAAAATCAAATGTCTGCAAAGTACTTAACTTGGTGCCTGTGCCCATGAATGCTTAATTGACATTAACTGCTATTCATTTTTATTGTTATAGATAGAGTGAATGCAGGAATCCACACACGTGTAGTTGCTGATATCTATGCTGGAATATGAGGAGAGTGAGCAGACCTTTTCCCATAGGGAACTCATGTTCCAATGGAGCAACACAAAAGACTCAGGGAAAAAGTACAGTAGGGTGAAGGCTTTTATTAGGAACCCAGCCAGACTCAGGAATGAAATGTTTCATTCACTTAAAGGTTAGGGTTGAGGAAGTGTCTCAGGAGAGAAAAGGCCTGGGCAGTGATTTGAGAAAAGAATACCAGCGTTTTCTAGACAGACAGTATGGTCAAGTAGAGATAAGATGTTTGAGGGATTTCAAGTGTTAGTACTTCTAGGGTGTGCCATTGAGAAGGAATGAGGGATTGTGGAATGCTGGGAGAAGGGATGAGAGAGGGAAGCAAGACCTCCACAAAAGGCAGGGGCTGCAGTCACTGAAGGGTTCTATAAAGTAGAGGGTCATGGTCAAATATTAATTTGTGAAAAATTAATGCCAGCCCTGGCTGGTTTGGCTCAACTGTTAGAGCGTCCTCCTGCGGTCCAGAGAGACCCGGGTTCGGTTCCCGCTAAAGGGCATGTACCTCGGTTGCAGTTTGTCCCCGGCCCTGGTTGGTCGTGCGGGTGGCAGCCACTCGATGTGTCCCTTTCACATCGATGTTTCCCTCTCTCTCTCTTCCTCTCTCTCCCTCCCACTCTGTCTGTACAAAAAATGGAAAAATGTCCTCGGATGAGGATTAAAAAAAAAAAAAAAAAATTAATGCCAGATGAGTCCCTGTCTCTGTTGATGAAGTACATGGCTAATTTATACTTACCACTGTATCTTAAAGTAGGGTGAGACTGTGCAGGGTCTTCTTGGAAGAGAAATGGTGGGACTCCTATAGGATCCTTTGGTATGCTCACCTGCCTCCTAAACCCCCGATGCCATGTTGCATGGTAGCTGGAAGTGTTCTCCTCCAGTGAAACCTCTTCTTGGAGTCCTGAGGAAGGCAGTGTGTCTCCAGGTGTCCCCCGTGTCCCTCCTGCTGTCTCTCTCCGGGTGAACTTTTTGCAGTGCTGCCAGAGCCTGGCTGGTGCAGGTCGGTTTGGTTAGTAATGAAATAACTGGATTTCAGCTGCCCTAGCTCATGCCTGCCAGTCGCTATCACCAACTAAATCAAAATCAAAAGTAGTTATCTTAGAATGTGGCCTCTCTGCTTTGAACAATAACCCAAAAAGCTACTCACTCTACACAGTTGAACCTGCTCTGCTTTTATTTTTGTGCGATTCCTGAGGAAAAAACTTAGAATCTCTCTGCAGCAGACACTGATATTGTATATAGAGGAAATTATGATAACAAAGTCCCCAAGTTTCCTGCTGGAAACTGGCCCCTTCAATGCATCCCCCAGGTCCCAGAGTTCCTTCCTTGGGGAGCCCTGCCACCTCTGTGCAGACTTTCCCTTTGAGACTCCAGTTGTCTCCTGTAGCCAGGCTGCTGACCCTCTGGACCCAGCCACATCAGTGACTTCTACTGTGAGAGCCACTGTGGCCTGCAAGGAAGGGCAAGTGCTTTCTTTTTGGCTACTTGGTCTTAAGTGTCAGTCAGGCCCTTCCTTCGAATTCCTGGCAGCACAGAGACTCATTTACAACTTGACTTTGCCAGAGGTTCAGCT